GGAAAGTCAAAGGAGAAGATTGCAGCAGTCTCTTCCTTGATGAATCTGCAGAATTATAAATAAATCACAGCTGCTCTGACCTTTTTTTTTTTTTCTTCCTTGCGAGCTGACCCCATTGGAGCATCTGAGCTCAAATCACTGTAAAGAGCTACCTCTGGGATTCCACATGTGTCTGTCCCTACGGGAAAGATAAAATCTGCAACTTAATGTTTAGAAGATGTGCTTAGTTTGGGTGCTGGAGAACTGTATGAAGAGTAAGTAAAAAAAGGGAAAATTGATGGGTTTTATTGATGTTTTTTTCTGATACGAAAACAAAGAAGGGATGTCTCACTAACCATTGCAGATAAATCAGAGGGAACTGCACAGCTATGAACTGGAGGTACAACACAGCATCAGGATCCTAGCCCATTGCTTAAGGGGCACAAGCAAGGCATTTCTTTGTCATAGGAAGCTCACGGTGAGAAGGAGCTGCAGTGGTGCTGCTTGGGGGACCTGAACCATCTGCATGTGCTGGTAAATGCCGGACACTGTGTTTGCTCACATTATAACGGGGTGCAAGCCCAGGGAGCTGCGGACTTACACAGATTTTTCTTTCTTCTCACTTAGGTCTTTGTCTTTTGGTAGAGTACAACAGAAGAAACAGCAATAGTATTAGCAAAAAGGAGGGGGGGGAGGAGAGGGAGATAAATAATAGATAAATAACTAGACCTCTGAACTGCATGTGCTAAACGAGGAATTGCTGGAGCTGGGAAGAGTACAGCGATGGGCACGCTGCTTCCCAGCACCCTGGGCTAAGGGAGAAATGGAGGCTCCTATCAGTCCCGTGAACACAGCTGTCCCAAGAGTAGGGGTTGAGGAGGGGAGCTCACACTGGCCGTATCTTTCATCTGTGGAACTCATCACTGTCAGGTACTGAGGCAAAAACCCCTCAGCAGAGTTCGGGAATGGTGTATTTTCAGGACTACTACAGAAGCAACGGTGTTTGTACCCAGCGAGCTCTTGAGGAAGCTCTGGCCATGCTTCACCTCTCAGGTAAGAGGGAATGGCAACAGGCTGAATTTCACAAGCTGCTTTATTTCAAAGTTGTTCAAAAGCCTGTTCCGCACTGGGGGAAGCCCTCGCTGCATTCCCTTTGGGATATGGCATGGTACCAACAGATGAACCAATAACAAATAAAACGTGGCTGATATTTTAGTTGTATGGCCTTACCTACAGCACCCCAACTGGGAGCTGCTGCTGTCCTCCTAGCTGCCAGCTGACCTCCGTGCATTAGGCTCTAAGCTACAAAATTCTTTCTTGGGGCATTTTATGGTGTTAGACCTTTCACAGAAATCTTTACCTTCTTCTGACGGGCTGCCCAGGGAAGTGGTTGAGGCCTCATCCCTGGAGGTATTTAAAAGATGGGTTGACGAGGTGCTTAGGGACATGGTTTAGTGGTGGAATGGCAGGGTTAGGTTAACAGTTGGACTTGATGATCTTAAAGGTCTCTTCCAACCTAAATGATTCTGTGATTCTGAAGTATTTGATAAAAAATATTGTTGGAAATGGGACTCTGAACTTCATGGTTTCTGGTAGCTATTCCTAAAATCTCCTAAGACAAAGGTATTGGTATACTGGGAAACCGTGGCACATTCCTTAGCATCAACTCATGGGATGACTTTCTGAAGCTGTTTAACCTTGTGTGTGCTATTTCCACCCTGCAATGGTATACATTCTGTGGCTAGGTGGAGAAGGCTAAGGGTGCTGCGATGACTTTCTGAAGCTGTTTAACCTTGTGTGTGCTATTTCCACCCTGCAATGGTATACATTCTGTGGCTAGGTGGAGAAGGCTAAGGGTGCTGCACCAGCTGGTGGCATTATGCGTCCTAGGCTGCTTTTCAATGGATGGGTTAGGACCAAAATCCTATTTTGGTTTTCTGATCACTGACGTTGTTGCTGTTGCCTCTCACATCGCAAAGCTGAGAAAAGCTTAGCGATTACTGTGGGAACTGAAGAGATACAAAGACCTTACCTTCAAAGACCAAAGCCTCACTC